TTTTTTCTTTTGCTGTAATTAACTTTATTTAAAAAAAAAGGTAGGAATGCGAAAGACTAAAACCATTGCATAAGTTCAGAAAAGTGACATTATTCAGTAGTAATATTTAGAGGGAAAAAGCATGAAGAATGTGTATGATAAAAACATTTCTGGGACAGCAAATCCAGCATGGTGTAATGAGATTTCCTCATGTACAGAAGAACATCCTAAATCATGAGGCTTTGATGGGGTGAGCATCAATAGATCCATGGAACGAACTGTAAAAGAAACTGCACATAATCTGGAAAACAAGTTCTCCAAAATATAAGTGATTAAAACTTCTTGGAAAACTAACAATGGAATTCCGAAATTTCCTGGAAATTTACGATTAGTTTTCTGCAGTGTCATGCCAGAGATGTTTCACTTTTAATCTTGTAGTTTGTAGTTTTTGTCTCAAGGGTCGAGTGAATGCTGGCAGGTGTGTCTGTCTAAGCGACTCCCTCAAGAAATCAACTTCTCTCAACCCATCACTGATTATTAGTAAAAACATATGATTTAGTTGCTTGACTGACCTATAGTTTAAAGAAACAACATAATTATTTTGCAAGACATTGTGATTTCACAAAATTTTTGCTTCAAATATCAAATCTATACAAAAATTATTTTGTATAGTGCTTCATGCAATAGAGACTCAAAGTAGTAAAAGTAATATTAAACTGGAAAGTAACAGAATAAATTATGCAAACTTCAAAACTGAGGCAAATCCTAATTCTGCTGTAAAGCATGTGTAGCAAGACAATGAATAATCCTTATTTAGCTCCAGTCAGATCAGTATTGATTCAGTTCAGTTCAATAGCTGTGTAATTATGATAATATATTTGTATATTTGTAGATAATCTAATAAACAATTTCATTTGAAGTAATTTGTTAACACACTAAAAAAAACACATACATTAAGGGGTCATATGATGCGATTTAAATTTTTCCTTTCTCTTTGGAGTGTTACAAGCTCTTGGTGCATAAAGAAGATCTGTGAAGTTGCAAAGACTAAAGTCTCAAATCCAGAGAGATATTCTTTATAAAAGTTAAGAGTCAACCACGCCTACCTAAAACGGCTCGTTCTAACACGCCCCCACATGTCTATGTCACGATGTGGGAAGATTTGCATAACTTTTATTCTCGCTGTAGTATTGTTGCTGCTGCCATGTCGTGAAGGCACTGTATGATTCGTTGTGAAAACGAAACTACTTTGTTTGGCCTTCCAAAAGAGAACGATATCTGCTTCGTCATGCCTGGAGCTGATCCGTGCTGGTTGCTGAGGAAATACATCAACTTCGCGCTGTGGATCGCTGGATCGGCTTTCACTGTGGACGAAGCGGAGTCCAGCCCGGGGTCGTCACATGTGATTGGCGCAAGCCCGCTGGACGCTCCATCGTCGAGCCCACCCGCCTCTGCTCACTCAAGCCGGCCTCCGCATACTCTAGTCCGCCTGTCACTCTAGGCCTCCGGCCTCCGCTCACTCAAGGCCGCGGTGTGTGACGCTTTTTCGTAGTGAAAGCGAAACTACTTTGTTTGGCCTTCCAAAAGAGGACACGACTAGAAATCAATGGTTAAGTTGTATTTACAACACTGTTCCAGAACACTTTAACCCAAATATTCAGATGTGTCCAGCGCATTTTATGGAGGACTGTTTCCAGATCCTGGTAGGGTAGACTACAATGCCGGCTGTTCTGACTCACAGACAGTAAGTACGTTTTTATATTTTAAGAATTTGCCACTGATAATTCAAACGCGAGTTTTTTGGGCAGTGTAGAGTAGCACTTGTTGTTTGTCATTTCTCCGACCACAAATGCAGACAGGTTTTATGTTATGCTCCGGCCTGACAGGGCATAACAGTATGTTTTCAGAACGATGAACTTTGTAAAAATCGAGGCGTTTCAGAAAGGCGGGGTATATAGGAGAAACAACAATGTACAGTATGTGGAAAATAATGTGTTTTTTTAACCTTAAACCACATAAACACATTTCATTACACCAAATACACAAAATAATGTTCTTTTTAGCAACATCATATGACCCCTTTAAGCTTTATTTTATACACTGTCTTTTTATGCTCACATCAGATGTCACTCATCAAAATAACGTAGAGACATGCAGAGCTCTAATTGGGCCTATACAACACAGAAAGAACAATAAATATTGACACACTGAAAGCAGTGGACTGTGTTTTTTTTTTTTTTTTTTGACAGGATGGTTAAAGGTCAAATTCAATTAAGCCCTAAATGATCAACAGGTTAATAAAGATACTACTCAAAGCACAGATGAATAGGATTGGAGAGTTGTGAGCTGAGAGCTTCAATTCACATCATGTCAAAGAATTAGAGAGTCGGACTCGTAACCCAAAGGTTGTGAGTTTGAGTCTCTGGTCCGGCAGGAATTGTAGGTGGGGGGAGTGAATGTACAGCGCTCTCTCCCACCTTCAATACCACGACTGAGGTGCCCTTGAGCAAGGCACCGAACCCCCAACTGCTCCCCGGGTGCCGCAGCATAAATGGCTGCCCACTGCTCCGGGTGTGTGTTCACGGTGTGTGTGTTCACTGCTATGTGTGTGCACTTAGGATGGGTTAAATGCAGAGCACTAATTCCTAGTATGGGTAACCATACTTGGCCACATGTCACTTCACTTTTCACTTTTTCACTTTCACTTTAAGAATTTTCACCAGAATGTGTAGTTTATTCCACTACATGCCACCCGTATTCCCTTCTTTACCACCCTCTACTTTCTCTCTTCAATGGCTGAAGTGTAAAATGTGGAGCTGAGCAGTGCGAGAGCTAATAAGGTCCAGTGGGAAACCACAAACATTAATGAAGTCTACTAAAAACTCATATGAACTTCTCAAACTGGTCTAATCGTCTATACTAAATCATTTCTTTTTGACATCTCTCAATCCATCCATAACAACAAATCATATCACTTAAAATCTTTTCCTATTGCAAATTGTAATGTGGTGTTTTGGGTTGTGTTTCTTGTTCATGTTTTCATGTCTTTTATTTTGGAGTTAAGTCCTGGTCCCTGTTTGTGTCATGCTTCCCTTGCCCTCGTGTATTCATGCCATTGGTTCCTCTGTTCATTGTGTCATGTTCTGATTGGTTGTCTAGGTCATGTGTCTTGTTTCCCATTGGTTTGTTCTTGTCATGTGATCCTCATTGTCTGCTATATGTAGCCATCATGTTGCCATTGTCTCTCGTCATGTATTGATGTTGTAACCCGCTGTCGGTGAGTCAAGTCTGTTCCTGTCAAGTCAAGTCTGTTCCCGTCAAGTCAAGTCTGTTCCTGTCAAGTCTCGGATTATTGTTTGGCTGTTTGAATCACTTGTAAATAAACTGCACTTGGGTTCTTCACTATGCTCGCCTTCAGTGGATTGATTCGTTACACAAATACAGACTGTTTCACATAGTCTGCTTTAAAGTTGCTCCTACTAAGGTACATTAAAAAAAATTATGTACATAATAAATCACTCTTGCAGAGTAGCGTTACATTTTCAACCATATTCTGTTCTCAAAATCAAATAGGAACAAGAATCACGAACTATAAAGTCATGCTGTATTTTATCACGTAACATCAGAACAACTTACTGGATGTATTTTTCAACTCTAGCAACTATGATCTAATGAGCCAGAGAAATATACTCTTAAGAAACTGTCAGTCAAAGTGTTAAGTTACATGTCTCTCAAAAGATGAAGTGAGTGTATATGCTCAGTGATCAAACATGGGCTGCTGTAGAGCTATGGTGAGTGCCAGAATAAGCGTGCCATAGCGCTCATTTCTGAGGCAGCAGCTTTGGGCTCTGCGTGATTGATGTTGAGGTCCATAGAGCAGATCATCTCCCTCAGCCCTCACATTAACATACCGAGTAACAGGCATACAGCTACAAAACTCAGATCTATTTTTAAAACACACTCCAGCAGTGAGAAGATGATTTTTAATTTATGATTAAGAATAAGTTATTCAATAAGCCAATAGCTCTGGCTATCGCTGGTGTCCGACATTTATTCATTAGTTGATTTACACTTGTAACAAGTTGGGATTTTTTTTTTGTGCATTTTTGGCACCAATGAAACTGTGTTTGGTTTAGCAATTATTTATTTTCCTCTTTAAATCAGTACCTTATTACATTTCACAGAATTTTTCAGACAGATTGCATAGTTTTCCCCTTAATCTCTTCCTTACATACTCTTCATGTACATTTAATTATCTGCATTCTTTGCCCTTAAGTGGTTTAGCTGATGGTCCCCACCTGCAATGTGTGAGAATAATTCAAATGATCAAAATATTTAACCGCTTTCTAGCAGCTAAACCACACTGGCCAGAATAGTGGGTGTGAGGTGTTTCATTAGGTGTGTGTGTTTGTTTTCAAAACATGTTGATACTGCAATAAAAAAAAATGCAGATATTAAGAAAATAGATCTGGAAAGGGTTATGTACTCACTGGAATTTTTAGCTTAGCTTTTTCCACATGGATTTAGCACGTATTTAGTTGTGTGATTGTAACAAGAAATCCAATCAGATTTTTTTGTACCCTGAGTCACTGCTGCCGAACTTTAATATGTAAATCAATATACTGTACATATGTTTTAATTGTTAAAGGTGACAACATACATAATTATCATTTTATAAAACAAAAGCTGGATTAGAATCGAGAAACCTTTTTTTTTGTCTAAGAATAAGTCACGCTGAAGGTTTTGCATGCAGTGAAATACTACACTTTCAGGAACCAGCCTATGGATTTTTTTTCTCTGCCCTGTAGGAAAGTTTCTGATAGCTGAAACTCTCCGAAATTACATCCAATGACCAATCAAAAGCAAGACGCAAAGGAAAACAAACCCTGTGATTGGTCTAAACCGCTACTGGTTTCAAGGCGCCCCTCATAGAGGGCCAGTGAATCTGAATGAGGGGTGTGTAGAAACCGACGGCACATTATTGTTTGTGCGCCTCACTTGCGCTCAAACCTTCAGTCAGTGAGAAGCGCGTCTACTGAGCGCACACGAGACACGCGAGGAAAGCGCACTCTGTTCAAGATATCCGACTGAAGTTTTCCAGCAGCGACACGACTCTCTCAAATGCAGCTCTAAAGTCATTGGATACACAGACTTACACGCAGGATTTGGAGAGCCGGGCGGAAAACTTGAAATAACAGTCGGAAGATTCTCTCACAAACATTCAAGAAGAAAAAATGACAAAGAAAACGATGCGCTCGTTGTGGATTTAGTTTGGATGTATTTTCGCACTTGGTGACTTTTTGTCGAATCCACTCATTTGCCTAACATGATTGCTTTTAGACCACGAGTGTCGTGACAGGAGCTCAAACGAGGAGTTTTTGTTCGTTTAAACGCATGCGAACTGGTCACAGAAACTTTTTCTCGGAGCAGCCGCAACCTCATTTCTTTCTGACCGAGTCACCCAAATAACGGCTCTCCTCAAAATGCAACACTGTAGTGGGATTTCTCGATATTTTCTTCTATTTCTCACCCTGGCCCTGCAGCCGTCCGGCGGCCAGTATCATGGAGAGAAGGGCATCTCCATTCCCGAGCACGGTTTCTGCCAGCCCATATCGATACCTCTCTGCACGGACATCGCCTACAATCAGACCATCATGCCCAACCTTTTGGGTCACACCAATCAGGAGGACGCCGGGCTGGAGGTGCACCAGTTCTACCCCCTAGTGAAAGTGCAGTGCTCCATGGACCTCAAGTTCTTCCTCTGCTCCATGTACGCGCCGGTTTGCACGGTGCTGGAGCAAGCCATCCCGCCGTGTCGCACCCTGTGCGAGCGCGCGAGACAAGGCTGCGAGGCCCTCATGAACAAGTTCGGCTTCCAGTGGCCCGAGCGCCTGCGCTGCGAGAACTTCCCGGTGCACGGCGCGGGGGAGATCTGCGTGGGTCAGAACACCTCGGACGCGGGAAGCCCGACCTCAAACCCGACGCCCTACGTCCCAGAACTGATCACATTACAGCCGAACGTGGTCAGACCCAGCCAGCAGTTCACATGTCCGCTGCAGCTCAAAGTGCCCACTTATCTCAAGTACCACTTCATGGGCGAAAAAGACTGCGGGGCGCCATGTGAGCCCACTAGACCCAACGGACTGATGTATTTTAGAGAGGAAGAGGTCAAATTTGGCCGGCTCTGGGTGGGCATTTGGTCCATTTTGTGCTGTGTTAGCACACTGTTCACCGTTCTCACGTACTTAGTGGACATGAGGCGGTTTCGTTACCCGGAGAGGCCCATCATCTTCCTCTCCGGGTGTTACTTCATGGTGGCTGTTGCTTACGCGGCTGGTTTTTTCCTTGAAGACAAAGTCGTTTGCATTGACAAATTCAACGATGATGGTTACAAGACCGTCGCGCAGGGCACGAAAAAAGAGGGCTGCACTATCCTCTTCATGATCCTCTATTTCTTCGGCATGGCAAGTTCAATCTGGTGGGTCATTCTGTCCCTCACGTGGTTCCTCTCTGCGGGAATGAAGTGGGGTCATGAAGCCATTGAGGCTAACTCTCAGTATTTCCACCTGGCCGCTTGGGCTGTCCCAGCGGTTAAGACCATCACCATCCTCGCCATGGGCCAAGTGGATGGTGACATTCTCACCGGGGTGTGCTACGTTGGCATCTACAACGTGGACTCTCTGCGTGGCTTCGTCTTGGCGCCCCTCTTCGTCACACATGTACCTTCCCTTGTTTTAACTTGGGACTTGTATGACTTTCGCAGCGCTCCGTCGACAATCACGCATACACTGGCACACATGGACCGTCAAGTACGCATTAGGATTGGGATACTTATATGCCTGTGTACAGCTGTGAATTTATGCAAGCTCCCTTTAAACGATGTAACGTGTAAATAATCCCCTTTTTTGAAAGAATATATATATGTATTTATGAAAATGATCTTGCTGTTTTTTACTCGATTTTTAAAATTTGGTAAGATACCTTTGTATCTGTACAGTGTCGCTGAATAAAATGATTAGATTTTTAACGGACTCATTTTACTTTACAAATGGCATTACAGTTTTTGTTTTCTACAAAACCTTTATATATATTTTTTTTTATGTTTTCAAAACAAAGACATAAAGACGTAACTCATGCAATGCTCTGTTAAAAATTTAAGCAAATCATAAAGTGCTCAGTGACTATTTTGTTGAGCCAAATGCGGCATTACAGTCCTGACTTGTAAAACGAAAATTACAAATACGACAAAGTCATCCTCAGTAAATGAGACCAAATACAATTGTGTAATTGTATTTACTGTATTAGTAAACAAATATTAGTGTTTATTAGAGAAACTCCTGCAGCTTTACTGCGCTGAAGCGGGGCTCTGGCGCCACCCACAGGCGACTCATATGTTGACTTCACAGTCTTACGAATGAACTGTAAGACCAAGTTTCAAAATAGGTAACGAAAGATACGTTATATTTTATTTTAAGCATAAGTTTAGTTCATAATCACATGTTGTGCATAATTCATCTCATGTAGCCTACTACTGGAGAGCTTTAATATATTTAAACGCACTGCTTTGTTACAGCCTTGAAAGAAGTAGACAACATAAATGTGCATGCTGCAAAGGAAAATGAATCATCAACGTACTATATTGCATTATATTATTATATTATATTGTGAATACAATAGAATACATTTTATTTCACGAATCACATTCTGTAACAATAATTTTGTTGTAAACTGTGTATGCACACAAAGCAAAAATGTATCTTTGATGTTTAATAACTAACGGCAGATTAATACAGAAGTTGATACAAAAATACATGTTATATTATGCCAAAAGTGTCTGAAAGAAACTGCAAATAGGATGCTCGCTGCTGAAGTAGTATCGCTAAGTTTAACATTTCATTTTACAGAAATGGTTACTGCGTCAATACTCTAAAAAATCCATAAAACATAAATAAATGCATAAAAACATAAATCATGAATTTTTCATTATTTCCATTTGGGCCAAAAATGATATAAAGATCAAAATGATATAAAGGATGGCATTTATGACAATAGGAGGTTTAATCATCACTACAATACTCAACACAGACTAAAAGCTTCAGAAGAAGCAAGAGCTCAGCGCAAAGGGTTTATGCAGGCTAATGTTAAGTATCCTAACACTTTGTCCTCATCAGCCTATTAAGCCCTGCAGGTGGCCAGACTAGAGTTCTGTTCACCATCAAAAAAGTATGATCTCACAGAGCAATAAAATGATTCACCAGGTAACTCAAGGCACATGGAGACGTGGTTGTGGTTCAGGTTGAAGAAGTCTTCCCTCTACAGTAAATTGTGAAGCTCGGTTTAAACCTCCAACCTCTTGGAGATCAGAGTATAGTTAAGCACAGGAGCTGGTAAAAAGATCACAACCAATGTACTGTTCCTAAAACATGATTATTATCTGTGCCAGACACAATAGCATCTGCTGTCATACATACATCACTCCCAGTGTCTTTCTTTGTGTATTTATTTATTTTTGTTTTGTTTTGTGGCTAAACTGTCACGGTATCCTCTCACATTATTTAAGGACGTCCTGCAAGTCTTTAGCTGTAAGGTTGAACAACTTCTCCTGTCTATTTGATTGATGCAGGGGTTTTATGTGAAGGAAGGAAAAGTCTATTTCTTGTGGCACAGTAAATAACACTAATTAAAGATGTGCCATCCTGGGCATATGACAGGAGTCACAGGACACGTTGTGCAGGAGACCCAGTTCAGGTTATTCACAAAAGCTGTGAGCTGTCATCTTCCTTTTGTTTGTATTTTAGGACGGGTTTAACTAAGGTAGTCAGAGTTGCTGGCCTGACCAGGAGGGGTAATTGCTTGGTTGCAACCAAGGCAACAAGAAAACAGTTCTCAGTCGAGGAGCTGTGGAGAGCCTGGCAACTGCAAAGCTCAGTAAACACAGTCATTTGTAACATGGGCCGAAATGATTCTGTAGCATGTAAAAGCAGCAGGCGGGGATGTTGAAAGAACACTCAAATGCATTCTGAATTACAGAGAAATGGTCGCTGAGGAGAGAGGAGCTGGGCCTCAAACAGAGGTACGAGAACAAATGTTAGAACAAAAATTGCTGACTCTGAATAAGTTGTTATTGTTTTAAAAAAAAAAACTATGTTTTCTCTGAAACCTAAATGACCTAAATGTTCAAAAAGGGGGGTTTTACAATAGAAAAAAAAATGTGAGTCCCCCAAAGAACCTTTCATTGAAAAGTTCTTAAAATAACCTTTTTTTTCTTTGTGTGAAGAACGTTTTAATAATCTGAGGTACTTTTTCCATTATAAAGAATCTGAATGGAAACTTTCCATGAATGTTAAAAGCTCTTTGTGGAGCCACAGATGCCAATAAAGAATCTTAATTTTTAAGAGTGAGTTTTATGGTTGCTATACACTATCAATATTCCAGATTAAAAAGACCTTTGATGTGATTTTAAAAACATGCTGTTCAGTACATGATAAGAACACAATCGTGATAGGATTGTCTTTTTGCAGCATTCATTCAGAGGAACATTATCAACTCCACAATGAAAGATTTTGTCCTGTCATTGCTGAGTCGTGGGTATGGCCAAATTGTGCCAAATGAAGACGGTCATGATGGAAGACTGGAGGTCTGTTTTGAACCACAGGTAAATGTTTCTATATGCCTATATAAGACCAGTTTCAATGAGTCAAGGATAAAGTTTGATTTATTTGAACGCTCTTCCACACAGTCAATTGAAACATGATCTTTTCTTAACTAGGATTACTTCAACTGGAAATCCCAGCCTCCACTGCTGCGTCTTACCAGCAGTGGCCGTTTTTTTGGAGGACTGGAGCCTGTGCCTCCGAAAACCTACAGTACGAGGAGAGGGCCTCTTATTCTGTATTCAGAGGACCTTGCACTGGCATACCGATCTGGCCAGGTTAACAGGAAGAGAAAGGCTCCGAGCTGCCCAAAACAGGAAGCTGAGAAGCAGCTGCACACACTGCAAGACCTGACTGGAGCTATTTTGGCTTTTGGAAAAAAGGTAAATCGGAGTAGAAAAATGAATAAAAAAGTTCTATACCAATTCTACACTATTACCCTAGTGAAAAAAGTACACTTACAGTACACTTTAAAAAGAGTACTTATTTTCCGATATAATACACGTTAAAAGAATACACTTACGTGCAAACTGAATTTAATGATTTTATGCTAATTGCGATTAAATAAAGTATTATAGTTCAAATTTATTTTAAATGCAATTTGCTGAACTTTAAAGTGCTTTTTTCAACCAACTTAAGTAGGATTCAAGTACTTTATATTATATTTATATATTTTTATTGTCTTTTAAATCGGGTTAAATAAGCATTAAAAGTACACTAAAATACAATGTAATTTTTACTGAAATCAAAAATGATGCAAAAACAAATAAATGCAAAATAAGTGTATTTCTTTAAATATGATTAAAGCGTAATAAAACGATTAAAATATACTTTAAAGTGAAACTTTAGGTAACATTTTAGATTAGAAAACCTTTGTTATGATGCATATTACCAGCATATTGACTGTTAATTAGTACTGATAAAAGCAGATATTACTGCATGATCATATTCTAGACCTCATAACCCTACCCAATAAGCAGCAAATAGGGAGTTTATGAATATGTTTCCTAATCTAAAGTGTTACAAAAACTTCATTACAAAGGTGCAAAGTTCACTTTTTAAAAGTGTACTTAAAAGTGTTAAACACTTTCATGACTATGTTTCTAATGAACAATTAAGTGGCCTTTAATCTCTTTAACATTATTTTATCTGCAAGTATAGTTTTATTTTGTGTTCCACAAAATAATGTTCTTGTTTATGCAGAGGTTGTGAAATTCTGGAAACATCATTCATTACTTGACTTAATGGTCAAGTTTAACTAACATTAGATATTGAAAAGACTGCTGAACAGAACAGTCATCTGATTAATGTATCAGTTAACATACACGTACGTGACCGAGTAGTGCATGAAACGGTTCCTTATCTGTCAAATTTCTTCAGTTAAGAGGCCCAGATCAACTACAAATGAACCATTGTGCAGATCTGCCTGAAGCTGCCTCCTGATTGCCGGAGAGCAAGAGCAGTGGGACGTAAACTTGAGGGATAGGCCAATCCACAGTAAATCTTCCAGAATTTTACTGCCCAGAAAAGTTGAAACTCAGGTTCAGGTCAAGATGAAGACTCGGTGGCGGTATTAGTTTACCGGCCCTGATTGCTGTACCTCTACTCTACTGGCCGGAGAGGTAACCCCATCTTGAAGGCAAATAGGTGAAATGTGGTGTGTTCATTTTACATTTCACTCCATAATCTTTCACTGAGCGCTTTAGCTGCACCTGGGCCAGGCAGATAACGCTGCCGTCAATATGCAACACACACACATGCGGTCAGTCCTCAAGGTGTCTTCAATTTCCACACATTCCAGGTCAATCAAACTGGTGTGAAGACTCGGTGGCGGTATTAGTTTACCGGCCCTGATTGCTGTACCGCTACTCTACTGGCCGGAGAGGTAACCCCATCTTGAAGGCAAATAGGTGAAATGTGGTGTGTTCATTTTACATTTCACTCCATAATCTTTCACTGAGCGCTTTAGCTGCACCTGGGCCAGGCAGATAACGCTGCCGTCAGTATGCAACACACACACATGCGGTCAGTCCTCAAGGTGTCTTCAATTTCCACACATTCCAGGTCAATCAAACTGGTGATTTACCCATAATGTGCCGTTTGACCTCCGTGAGATGTGAGCTGCAAATCTCAATAAAGGTGTCCTGAGGGATTTTACATAAACACACGGTCCATAATCTATCCAATTCCCATCCACCACAATCTGCTAATGCTCCACAGCCCTTGACTGTTCCCTCATTATATGCACATTAATCCATCATCTCTCCGTGCCCCCGAAAATCATCAGTCGATGCGGAAAGAGATCAAAAGGATCATCGAATCAGGTGTGCATTTTGAATGAGAAGAGTAAACTCCACAGTGACTTTGTTTTTTTACAATGTCCAACTTCCATCATAAAAACATAAACCCACATGAACCATCAGACGAGAAACTGCCTGAATACTCTGTGATCAACAGCAACTTCAATGAGACCGAAAAACTGCTGCAGTATGTGACCGAAATGGCACCCTCTCGGGGCAAAAGGGGAATGATCCAGGTGATGAGAGCTGAATGCAGTAATCAGTGTGTTTACCTCATAGACATGAGGGCTTGGACAAGGATTTGGAGGTGTTCCATGGAGAAGGGCCTATGGTTGTGGGTGGCCCGTGTGAAGTCTCAATCTGTCACGCTTAACTACAGCAGAATTTAAAATACACAGGTGTGCTTCAGGGACTCAAAAATGGCCGCCATAGTCATCCTCAGCAACGCAATCTGAATTCAGACAAATAATGCTCATTATTACAGACATAACATCAGTATTATTGATAAAGCTAAATCTAAATATATTTTTGTTTAATAATAACAACTTGGAAAAAACTCAAACTAAAATAAAAATTGACAAAAAATAATTTTAGTTTTTGATACTTAGTATTTTATAACTTTTGAAACGTTTATAATCCACCGGCTTTTGACATTTTTAAATACAACTTTGGCAGCCCTAAATAACAAAATGAAAACTTAACAAAACTAAAATTAAACCAAAAAGGCAAAATAAAATAAAATAAAATAATTGATTTAAACTTATAATCAGTAAAAGTATAATAACCTTCCACAACATACAAAAACAAAATCATATTTAAAATTTGAATATTTAATCATTTAAACATTTAATCTTTCAGAAACAAATACTGATCAAACAGAAAAAAAATGCTGTTTGTAAGTCAAGAATAGAGTTGTGAATAGAGAACTTGAAAATTCCTTCACATTAACCAAGTACACTGTGCTATATTTTTATGGATGTTTCTTAGAGTGTATTGTAGCTTGTTTGTTTTTTTAGACTCTTTTAGGAACTGATTTCAAAGCACTGGCACCTGGTTTCTCTTTATTATTGTTAAATTCTCAACCCAGGAGATCAAAACATCTCAGTTCTCTTATATTCTTTTCAATCGATTGCAAGGTATTGCATCCAAAAGAATTCCAGTGGGACTTCCAGCTCGGCATTCACGTTTTAGTTTTCCGCCGACGTTTAATACAAAGAAGAGGCCACGTGCAGAGAAATCCATCATGCTAATAAAGACAAATGACCTTGAAAATAAGTGAACATTGTGTTTGAGCGGTTTCAAAAGAGATAGTTAGAGATAATGTGGAGCATGTTTGGAGAGGCCTGAAAAAATCATAAAGATTTGATTCTTTATATATGATTCTTTGACTCCTTTTGTCAAAGGTTGGATCTCTTGCCGGTGTAACACACCCCTTATTGCCAGATAAACATGTTATACAGAACATCAACATGCATCACAGACCTGGAGAGAAGAACTATAATTCAAGCCAGGTTAAAGGTGAGACTCTCTAAACAATCCGGTCAATGTTTTATATATTTTAAAGGTATACTGTATATAATAAAGAGCAAAAATGCTTTAACATTATCTTTCATGGTATATTTAAAGTCATTTATTATTACTTAAAAATGGAAAATTTAAAAACAAACAAACCAATCTGTCATCATTTACTCATTTACTTACTCATGTAACAGTAAATACATTAATAATATTACAAAAGATTTATGTTTTAGGTAAATGCTGTTCTTTTGAACTTTCTATTCATTAAATAATCCTGAAAAAAAAAAGATCCAGGAGATCCAAGATCCAAAACAAATCTTGGTTTCCACAAAAACATTAAGCAGCTGAAAAAGCTTTGATAATAAGAAATGTTTCTTGAGCAGCAAATCAGCATATTCAAATGATTTCTGAAGGATCGTGGGACACTGAAAACTAGAGTAATGATGCTGAGATCCAGGAGATCCAAGATCCAAAACAAATCTTGGTTTCCACAAAAACATTAAGCAGCTGTAAAAGCTTTGATAATAAGAAATGTTTCTTGAGCAGCAAATCAGCATATTCAAATGATTTCTGAAGGATCGTGGGACACTGAAAACTAGAGTAATGATGCTGAAAATTCAGTTTTGCATCACAGGAATAAATTACATTTTAAAATATATTTCAATAGTAAACAGTTGTTCTAAATTGCGATAATATTTCACTATTACTGTTTTTACTGTATTTTTGATCAAATAAATGCAGCCTGGTGAACAGCTTTTCTTTCAAAAACCTTTTTAAATCTTACAGACCCCAAACATTTGAAAAGTAGCGTACATTACATATCTAGCATAAAATGATATTTCTCATTGTTTTTCAGGAGAAAACACTAATCAGATCAAATACCAGCCACATTTCCTCTGTTCCCCTCGGCCCAACAGGGCAGACCTGGGCCCTCTACCACCCATAATGGATGGTTTGGTACATGTACAAATCCAGGAGAAAACTCAGGCGGCATCAGGTAGAGTTCATAAAACACAAATGACACTAAAGATCAGATAAACGTTGACTATTCAAAAGCAGTTCTTGATTAGATCAGCAAATCCTGTGCAGCACAGCAATGCCAGTGAACACAATGAACAAACTCAAAATATATTACAGTGTTTGTGCCAGTGTTTAGTTCAAATCCATTCAGACGTTGAATGTTTACATCTTTAAGAAACGCATATCAGATACCTGCCTCTGAATGCACTCCATTCATGCCGGGACTAAAAGCATTAAGTTTGGAAAATCCTTCCCATTGCCAAGAGGAAGAAAAAACTGATTCCTAAAGCGTAACCAGTACAACCACAAGCAGCTTCTTCAGCTTCTGCTCGTTTTGAAATATAATTGGACACACAGAATAATGGTTGTCCTTTAACTTAATGTCTATAATGATCTTGACTCCAGATGAACAAATGAC